TAATTGTAAACGTTGTTAATTATCTAATAAAAAGCCCCCGGCCATAGAGGTCACCTTAACACCGAAAAAAAAAAAAATTTTTAACAAATTAGATTAAAATTGACCAAAATACAATTATAATCCATATTAAAAATATCCAGAATTTTATTATAGCTATAAAATATGAGTATATTAACAACTGTTAATAATACTGATATACACGTAGATAGCAAAAATTTATCTTAAAATAGTAAGATAAACATATTTTTTAAAAAGAAAATAATTAATTTAACAAGTATATAAATTGTAATAAAACATGTAGTTATAATTTTTTAGTTTAATAAAATTTTTATATTACTTTTTTTTAAAATAAAAATTCTCTTGCTTTATTCTTTTAAATCAATTAATAATAAATTACTACTGTAAATTCTCGAAATAGCGAGCATTTGCGCGCTATTTTGAATACATGCACATTATTTCGAATATGCCCATGGGCGTTATTTCGATATAAAGTATTATTCTGGTTACTAATGTTATAAGCAGGTCAAATGAATAAGTATCAGGTAAATATCGGATACAAGACTTCTGACATGCTACTGATATGCTATATTTAGCGGTAAATCAGGTGTATATCGGGAGTTTTGTATTCCGATATTTACCCGATACTTGTTCTTCGAGGTGCGCCCTATTTCGGGGCACGCATGGGCGTTATTTCGAAGCCACCTATGCTATTTTTAGGTGGAGCGATTTTCGAAACAACGCTCCTGCCCGCTATTTCGAGAATTTACGGTATTTGTATTTTTTTAATTCAATATTTTATTAGCCATATTTTAAAATGAGCGAAATTGCTACGCCCATAAAAATGATCTGCGAAAAACTAGCCAATCACAGAGAAAGCTCGCTATGTTGCGATCTAGGGGATGCCAAGAATCCGCGATTCACTGAACTCGCATACAGTACTCTACGTATTTCGTACTCTATTCCTGGTATTATCTTTTCACACTCTACATGTAAACACAAATCTAAATTTCCTATTACAACTCCTAATATACTCTTTATAAAAAAGCTTGTACAGTTACAGTATTGTAGGCATTGTCCAAAAAAATGTTCGGAGCGGAATTAATTTTCCGAATGCAAGTACGATATTGACAATTTTTTTTACCGTGACGTAAAAATAGAAATCTGGTTGACAACATTAGGTATAAGCATTGTACAAAATCAGTATATGTTTGGAAAACCGACTCCATTCCGAATATTTTTTTGAACAAAAACAAAATAACTTTAGAAAAGTTTTAGAACATTGCCGACAAAATTTTTTTATAGGAACTATGTTCAACCACAACATTTATATCTGGAATGGGAGCAATGTTTGATTTAATTTTCTCAATGTTCTTAAGAACATTTAAATTTAAAAAAAATTGAGAACATTGCATGATCTCTTTTGAGAAAAAACTAAGAACATCAAATTTTGTAATTTATGTTTTCATAAGAAATATATGAAAAATATTATAATTAATAAAAATTTGTTATTTTTTTTTTATTATAAAAAACACTGAAAATTTTTCGAGTACATAAAATTATTAATCTATGTTTTCAAAGAACAAAAAAATTTTTCGGATATCTTTCACTGGATGAACTGGATAGAAAGGGTGGTTACCTTTCCCGTCCGTGCAGAGTTGACATTGGGTGAGAAAAAATGGGAAAGTGTGTAGTTGATGACTCGTTCAGACTACCACCGCGAATGTCTATATTATTAAATTCAAGCTTGCACGCGGCCTTTAATTAGGTGGATACAGCAGATAGAAATATTGATTGGATTTTTATAATGTGAATAAACCTCTGCTTGCAACACTACCAAATCAAGACGGAAACGTGTTGATGGCGGGTGTTTCGAGTATCCCGGTATGGTAAAAAGATGTTTGAGCGTCAATTTGCAGAAATGCATAATTGATAGGGTGTAGAGACAACAAGCAGCCAAGCCCCTAAGACCTGCACGTGATAGTGCAGCATAATAAATATATGGTTTCTTTGATTCCCAGTATTGTGTAGAGACAGGGAGAGGGTTCACAGGCTGTAAGGTCATCAGTGTAGTTTGTTTTGATGTACAGCATCTCTCCGTAATCTGGTGATACGTGTTAAGTTGCTCTTAATTGAGTGACGTTTCAACAGTTCCAAGAGTATAACCAAAAGCTGTGAAGTTTCAAGAAATTGCTAAAAGACACAGTCGATGAAAGCCGAAAGGCCTGGTTGTGCGGAGTTGCATCCTATCCAACCTCCAGTGTGTTTAGTTAATCGGGACCCCTCGGTTAACCGCAAAATTTTTTAGTTAATTATAGATTATACCGGATTCGTCTCATATAGATGTAAGTCCTGGGTTCAGGCTTCTAGAGGATCAAAAAGGATTATATAGTTTATAAAGACCTTTGAATATTCACCTTTAAGGTGGCGCTTTTCCCGATTGCCTAGTCCTTTGAGGGCATACAGTCTGCGCGTGATATGATAAGTAGTTTCTATATAGATTCTGTGCCTCTACCATATAATTCCGAAAATATTTATCTTCTGCTACGAATCACCTAGTTGTATCAATCAGCATCATTCGTTCACGGATAGGATAGGAGACTCGACGCTAAATAGTTTAATCACTAAGATTCCATAAAATATAAAAATTTAATTCTCGGGCTAGTAATTTGAAATAATTTTATCATGAGTTGTTATTCCTTATGGGCGTTGCTTCCTTAAACTGACTAATGTACTGTGTTTTGCCCTCTTCAAGAATGCATGTAATTCATATTATATTAGTAAGCCGTTTAGGACTTTGCGTTTTGTCCTCTTCAAGAATGACATGTAATTCGCGTCGTTTGCAGTGGTTATTAAAACTTTTGTTATTTCATTTGGCCGGTAGTGGGCTTGATGATGAGTGTGTGAGTCCGAATCAGCGATGGTATGAACGGTTCTAAATATAGGAATGATAATGGGTTCTAATATTCAGGACTGTGAGGATTCAATCGTGTACCTCTTGGACATATGGTCCGTTACAAACACAAAATTAGTTCACCTAGTGGCATATATTTAGGTTTATGCGATCAAGATGATAAGGCATCACCTTCAAGCCAAGGCTTTAACAGACAGCTTAGTGATAATGTGTGGAGTTATTACTAAATATTTCTTTTTATGGTCATTTCTCGGAAGTAAGGGAAGAACTCTGACGCTGTCTTGAGTGGTAAAACCTCTATTTTTAACAGCCGAACCCGTCTAGTAATGGTGATCTGACCAGTTCCACGCCTTCGAGAGTCAAGTGAATCTTAGAGTTCCATTCTATGTGTCTGGTGAGCGCTCCTTCAGGGAGCGTGTAACGACATGGGGAATGGCAGCCAAACTCGTTGTTTGATAGGTGTGAGACCTTGATGCATGTGGCAGTCTTGGCTGGGAGATCGTGTTTATGCAAAATTTATTTTGAAGGTACATCCTGTGAGATAAGGCGGATCAGTGATTGACAGAATATGTTGATATGACATACTTGGTATAGCTGAGTACGTTGGCAAGTAATAGTTATATCCTGGGCAGTTGGGTCAGGGACACGGAATTTATGCGATAAGAATTTGTAAATTATGCGTGCGGTATGTGTAATATATGCGATTTGCTGATG